CCATTGGCATGATCTGCGATGCAACCACGGGGCTCACCCCAGGGGGGAAAAGCTCAACTCCAGTGACCTCAGCCGGTACCCGGAGCAGATGATGCAGGGTCTCGCAGCGGCCATCCTTTGCCGAGCGGGACCCGTCCTGGAGGCGCTGAGGCCGGGGGGCACGGTGCCCCAGGCGAACCCAACGACCCCCCCGAGGCGGCAGAGGGAACCTTCTCCCAGCACGCCGGGGGACAACCAGCGCCAGTCCCGGAGGCTGAAGGCTGGCCAACAAGCGTTGGCGGGACTAACCTTGGGCTCACTTCCGGTCTCGGCCTCGGACAATCCGGAGGTCCGGACACCGACACAGAGGGCTGGCGAGACGGACGAACTTCGGGGGGGGAACTCTTTCCCCTGAGCCATGGGCACGCCATTGCATGGAAATCTCGGATCGGCCCACCATCCTGCCGATCACGCACGACCCAAATCTCTCCGACAAGGTCATGTACCTCCAGATGGCCTTCAAACAGCGCCCCCTAAGGGACGGGGGGGGAAAGCCCTCATTGGGACGGCTGGCCCCATGGACTCGGCCACTGTCCAAAGCAGCAGCGATGGGGGCCAAGATCTGTGTCCTCACTTCGCCATGGGGGGACGGGTCACATCCCTTCCCGGAGGACCTGCTGGAGGATATCAGGGAGATTCTGGCGCCGGGGGCAGGCCGACCAGCTGACGGCCAACCCTTCTTCCTGGACATCTTGCACAGCGTGGCGCTGCACGTTCAGGACCCCGACCACCAGTTTCCCCGGGATCTGGAGCAAGGGGTCCCACTGGGGGTCACGGACCCACCCCTGGCCTCGCCGGGCATCTGGCCACTCAAGAAGGAGCTGAAAGGGGAGGAGCCGGAGTTCCAGGAACTCCCTCACCCCACGGGCCGGGGTAACTACCCCTCGGCGGATCACTTCAGCGAGCTCATCCGGGGCACATTCCTGGAGGAGGTCCCCATGGCATGGTAGAGGGCCCTTCACTAAGGTGGAGGCAGCATCGCGCTGTGGCTGCGAAATTGAGGACCTTTGTCCCGGCCCCCTAGCGGGCATCAACGAGGGGGACAAGATCCGCACCATCTACGATGGCTCTCCACCTGGGGGCTGGCTATGGCCGGAGCCGGGCACCAAGTGGGTGCTGCTCAAGGCGGACGTCACCAAGGCCCACCGGAGAGTGAAGGTCCTCAGGAAGGACTGGCGGTTCCAGGTGGCCTCACTGGGGGAAGAATGGTGGGTGAACAAGGTAGGCACATATGGCATGGCCAGTGCCCAATCCTACTGGGGACGCCTGGCAGCCCTTCACTCAGGGTCCTCTACGCACTTTTCCCTCAAGTGGATTGGAACTTCGTCTTTGTGGATGACTTCCTGTGGCTGCTTCGAAGCGAGGGGGCAGTAAACTTGGCGGTGGCGCTGCTGGCAACACTCCTGGCCTTGGGCACCCCGCTTAGCTGGAAGAAGACACATTTGGCGGAGGTCAACACGTGGCTGGGCTTCGTGGTCCACCCGAACATCCCGCAGGTTCTCATGGCCGCCAGCAAACACATCCTGGTGATGGAGGTCTTGCAGATCATGGTGGAAGGGCAGGGCGATGGTCTCAAAAGGACATCGAAAGGGCCCTAGGGTCGCATCCAATGGGGCGACTGCGCTGTCATTTCCCTGGCGAAGTTCGAGTGCTCCATCCACTTTGGGCCTGGAAGATGGCCACCACCACGGTGGGGAAACCCCCCAAGGTGGTCAGGATGCTGGCGTTCATGCTGCGGTTCCACTTCAACACGCCTTTCGTCCAGTACTCCCCTTACTTGCCGAAGTCCTCTTGGTGGGGTTGCAGCGATGCTAGCGCCTCGGACGAAGGACTGGCATTTGTGGGAGGATGGTGCTCCAATAAAATGGAGCCAGAAAAGAAGGAGGTGTACTGGTTCCACGAGCAGATCCACGTGGAGGAGTACCCGTGGGCATTCAAGCATGGGGATCCCAAGCGGAGGATTGCGGCTCTGGAAATGCTGGGCACGCTCTTCCTCTGTAACATGATCCTCACACACCAAGGCCCTCTGTCCTCCCGGGTCCGACTCCCGGTGGGCAGTGACAATCAGGGCAACGTCATGGCGATGCTCAACCTTGGATCCAATAAGCCCTACACCGCGGCTATCCTGATGGAGCTGGTCTTCCTGCTCCACACCCATGGCTGCTCGCTGGCGGCCAACCACGTGCCCCGGGAATTCAACCAGTGGGCTGATGAACTGACGCACCCAGATTTGTCTGGGTTCGACCCTTTGCACAGGGTCCCCAAACAGGAACTCTGCGAGGAGTTCGTTTTTCTCCCGCGTCTCCTGAATGGAGATGCATTTGATCTTAGCGTGGGCCCACCCCTGCTCCCGTGACCGGAGCCGGTGGGTGACTCACTTCCCCTGGTGGCAGACCCCCCTGTGGCCTGGGTGCCCCGGGCCCCGGCCCAGGGGCGGGCGCTA